TTGAGAACCTTAAGTCAGTAGGATTGATTTTTGGAGTCCTTTTCCTGTCTCCAAGTCGACAGGCTTTCCATATTTACTCTTGGCAACTAAAAGGCAGAGGTGGGGCATGTTAGAGCCCTTCCTAGACATCTTATCCAGTCAGGAGTCATCACCAAAGAGTAGCAGGATCACATTTAGACAGGGATCCAAACACCAGTGTTAGCTCAATCACGAAGAACGATGGGACCTTAGACAAGTCACCGCCACAAGCCCAGGCCAGTCTGAGAATAGATGGCAGAGAAGTAGCCCAGAGGTGGCCGTCCTGGGCTATGCATGGAATTAAATGAGATAGAGTTTAGAAACACCATGGAGGGCTCACTGCACAGAAGAGGTGGCCGTCCTGGGCTATGCATGGAATTGAATGAGATAGAGTTTAGAAACACCATGGAGGGCTCACTGCAGAGAAGAGGTGGCCGTCCTGGGCTATGCATGGAATTAAATGAGATAGAGTTTAGAAACACCATGGAGGGCTCACTGCACAGAAGACACCCATGGAGGTTAATTGAATAGAAAAGTGTAAGATAAGAAGGGAAGGCTGGCAGTGTTCCTGGGTGGCAGAACAGTGTCCCACTTCCTGCTGGACATGCCAGCTGCTGCCTGAAACCCACCATTGATGCACACCCCACCCCCTTAGCCTGAAGCGGTGATCCCAATTAAAATGCTAATTATCTCCAAGAGTTTTACTATTGAATTTTTTATTTTGCTAGTCCGCCGTTGACCCCAGAGTGTGAATGAGGAATTGAGAAACTTCATATCATGAGCAGAGAATGCAGAGGGTGGTCTGTCCCCAGACGCACCCCTCTCTGTGACCTTCTCTGTCCTTGACACCTGGTGCCTGCTGTAGACATGTGTTCTTGCTACTGCCACCTGCAGCCTCCATGTGGACCCACCGTAGCCATCACAGCCTTGGTCTTGTCTCCCTTCCGTGGTGTTGAGCCCATGCAAGGGCCATTCTGTCTCATTCACACCTCACTCTCTGGAGGATGTACTGACTCCTCTGGGACCCGCCCCTCAATTGCTCCTCCTCCACCTCTCACTACTTTCTCTTGTCTCTCCTTCCTCCCACTAGCCTCACTCCCACACACTTGACCCCTCAATGCACACGAAATTAGCATGTGTCATGCTGACAAAGCTGATGAGTGTTTACTTGTGCCCAGAATCCCTTAGTTCAGTTCCAAAGTCCTCCATAGATAATACAAGTCATGGGCACAGTGCAGCGTGGAAGAGGGGACCTGATTTTTGGTGAGAGGATCACATTGTGGACATGGGATGTTCATTCTTATCTCTAAGACTGAGTTTCCTCCTGTAGCACGAGTTCTAATAGGTCTCAATAATAAAAGCCCAGAGTCAGTCAGATATAGGGGGAAATGCTAAAAGATCAGAGAGACGAAGGAGCAAGCCACAGCCACCTTCACCTTGCTAACTTCCCAGCCAAAAGGAAACTGAGCTCCTGCCTTATCACTCCCTCTCTCTGCCCAGCCATATTGCTTCCTATCTGTCTCTACAGACCGCCAGACATCTAGTGACCAACTCCACCCTCTGATCTTCAGACAAACTTTATTTGTTAGAGTATAACCATCTATCACCACATCTTCCTCCTCATGGCAGAGAATCAGCATGAACACTTGTGGTATTGTTGGTAAAGGACCAGAGATATCAGCTGCATCCTATTTTTCCCTGTCATAGTTGATACTGATTGTCAAATTGCTAGAGTCTGGAATCACCCAGAAGACTTCCTGGGCTTGTCTATGTCCAGGTTGGGTCAACTGAGGTGGGAAGAACCGCTCTAAAGGTGGGTGCTACCATTCCATTGGCTGCGGATCCGGTGGGAATACAAAGCAGGAGGAGAGCGAGTGGGGACTGTGACCAAAGTGAACCTTTAAGGTGCTTCTTGCCAGGCATTTGACCACAACAACCAAAAAGGAACTTATCCGCCATCCTCTTGCTTTTCTAGTAACGCCGACATGCCCCTGCCATTTTCAGGCCTGAAAGCCATCTGTCGCCTGTTGCCTCTGCCAGGACTGCCAGGCTTTCAGTCTCCTGCACTGGCTTTTGGGTTCATGTCCTTCAGTGACAAACTAGCTAGCTAGGTGGCGGGGCGTGTGCTAAGAAAGAAAGACATGGCTAGAAGGGTGTCTCTGTGTCCCTCAGCTCTGCTGGATGTGGGGGCAATAATCTTGGGTTTTCTTGGTCCTTCAGCGGTTAACACTGAAACCCCTTAGGAAGTGAATGGATGTCAGGCTGGAGGGAGGGAAGGTGTTCGTCTAGGATGAATTCATCAGAGTAGGGAAGCTGAGGCTAGAAAAGGCTGTCTGGTGGCCTCTTTGCAAAACAACTCACATGGCCACAACCCCCTGCCTTAAGCAGATGGAAGAGGAAAGAGAAAGAAGTTGGGGATGCCGATATCCCTCCCTACGGTTCTTCAACATCTTGCCCCCAGCACGAACATGGAAGTTGGGTTTCTAGTGCAGTTGGAGGAGACCATAGTGAGTCCGTTGAGCAAGAATGCTCCTTGCTGAGTCCCAAAGAAGTTTCAACCTGGGCTTGTCCTGCGCCCAGCCAAGTTAGGCCGGGACGACTGCAAACCTTGAGGAGCCCATCGGTTTATCACAAGGCAGGGAGGCATTCCAGGAAATGTGATAGACAGGGCAGCAGACATCCTCAGGCCCTGATGACAGGCTCCATGTGCTCGGCTTAGACTCATGTGAGTCACTCTGAAAGCTAGGGTTCTGCTGATCTGATCCCTTCAGTCAACATCGGTTTCTCAGGCTCATCCGCCCATGCGCATAGTCTGAAGATCCCCCCAAGGGAAGGGAAGATTTTTGCAGAAGCCAATGGATAACACCTATTCTGTGGGGGCTGCACACACCCCTCTGTGGGGGCTACCAGTCTAGCTTCGCCTTCAGAGAAATGCAGACTGAGCCTGCTCCCTCCCCAGGCCCCAACCACACCACCCTGCCTTAGTTTATGGAAACCCAGCTGATTGTTTAAGCAGTAAAGAAAACACCGTGGAATGCGGGCCAGAGAAGGGCACAGATGCGATGCCACCAGACAGCCATCCAGGATGCAGGCTGACTCCGCCTAACGGGTACATAGGATTCCCAGTTCAACCAAATCAGCCATTAGAAAGCCACCTGGAGCAGCCGGCTCAAGCTGGCAGACGTTCTCAAACTTTCACTGAAGATTAGTCAATGGAGCCCTTTAATTGATGTGTGCTCAAGCTCATATCAAAACAGCATTCCCTTTATGGGGGACCAGCTTGTCCATAGTGCTTCCAGCCAGAGTCGTTGCCCGAAGCCAGTCACCTCACACTGCTACTTACCTAACTCCCCAGGCAAATACACTCGACTATTCTGGGCTAGACTACACTTGATCATCACAGACAACCACCAAATCCCTCTCCTCTCCTATTTCCGGATGGGAGCCGAGCAGCTGCTGGGGCCGCACACCCTCCTCCTTAATATAAACACACCTCTGATTTCCTAACTATCTTTAGGGAATTCCTTCTTGGCGCCTATGTTTATTTATGAAGCTACTTTGGAAATAGGCACCGCTGTCATTTCTGGGAGTGGGTTAGTTGAGGTCAGGCAGAGAATGCCAGCAGTACAGCTGGTGAGGGAGGAGGGGAAGGGAAAGAGGCTGAGGACCTCCCCTGCTCCAGGCTCCTCCCTGGAGCCTCAGGGGGAGCATCAGGTGTAGTATGCCCATCCTCCATTACCTGTTAGATTACCTTTTGGATGGTTCCTTTTTGCTTTGGCTGCCAGGAAGCTCGTGTGTGTGTGTGTGTGTGTGTGTGTGTGTGTGTGTGTGTGTGTGTGTGTGTGTGGTATGGTATATAAATCAGATGTTATTCCAGGCTCCTGGGGGAATTCTTCCTCCTAATTGTTTCAATGGATTGGGGAAAAAAACTCTAAGAATTTATTTATTGGTTGTTTTGTGTGTATGTTTTAGCTAATATTATAAACAGCTCAGCTCTATATATTTTCAGGAAATAGATGTAGTACACAAGAGGAAGAGACCAACCTGAAATTCATCCAGTATTGTTTTCTGTCACTATTAAAATACAAGTGCTGGGCTAGGGGTATAGTTTGGGATATGGAGCCTGCCTAGCATATGCAGGGCCTTGGATTCAATCGCTAATACTGTGAAAATAAAAATAAAAATTTAATAAACTGTAGGTATCTTGGGTCTCTTGCCGGAATATTTGTTCTATATCAGAGAGATGCCAAAATTACCCTCAGCAACATGGAAACAAGAAAGTTTAGCTCTGAAGTAGACACCACAGGCCTCAGGAAAACAAAGGCACTCCCACCAGTAACTACCCACAATTCTGTGTTTACAGCTGGGAGAACATGAAGGGTTAGAACAAAGAGACCTCTCCTCTACCCATCCTTCCTCAAGCTGCCACTAGATCCTCCAGCCCCCAGCTGCTCAGGCCTGGTGCTCCAAGCCAGCTGCCCTGCAGGGTTCCTGATACCACCAGAGCCAATAGCAGTTTTTCAAGTTGAGAGTTCATGGCAAAGTAGAGCTCCTGCTGGGAAGACCAGAGGGAATCTGGAGTCTGAGTGAGTGGCTCACTGTGTTCTGGCCTCCAGGTGGTACCAGGTCAGTTTGTTGAGCCTGTGCCATTGGTTGCTGATTGCTGCAGGGCAAAGCAGGTTGGCAGGGAACAGGCCTCGAGCCTTCAATCCTGAAAGACAGATCAGGGAAGTTTAAGAATTGAGTCCAAAGATGGCAATCCTGGTTTCTCAGGTTGGCACATCTGGCCCTTCCTTCTATGTGACGCTTGGATGTCTTGCAGGAACTTTACCATAGAACACTGGTTACCAGCAGAAGGTCTGGAGCTGCCCCAGACAGGCAGGAGCAGACAGGCAGTGAACACCTTGACTCACACTTCCTGAGTCCAGAGGTCAGGGAGTGGGAAGGGAACAGAGGGCAGTGTATGATAATTAGGGTAGAGTCAGGTCCCCTGTGCGTGTCTTGGGGATCCCACAAGTTCTGGCTGGAGCGAGAGCCTGCTCAGGGACAGGTAAGTCCCTTGGTGTGAAGTCAGCTGTGAGGACACTGATCACCTCTCTTTGGACAGAGCAATATTGAAGACTGAACACACAGAAGATCAAACCACAGAGCTGACAAGGACAAAAGAACAGATGTCCAGTCTAACTGTCTTCTCAGAGGTGTGTATGGAAGCAGGCTTGGGAGGAGTGGGCAACACTCTGATCAGCAGGTTCCCATCAATGTCCATTTCCAGCTGACGATGGAGGGCGCTATTGTGGAGCTGGGCAGAAATGCCGCTGATTTTCCTGCAAGCAGGTCACTCTCCTGGAGCCAATGGCACAGCCATGGTCCCTGCCCTGCACCTCCAGGCCTTTCTTCTGTCACCTGCACTAAGAACAGCTGCCTCCAAATTAGGTAATGCCAGGTGAAAGGACTTATGGAATGGGGAGGGAGCTTCTTTGAAAAGAATGGCAGTGCTTCAAGTTAGTGCAGATTTTTGATCCTGTGGCTCTTTTTCCTTTTAGAGTGTAGATGTGTGTGATACGCACATTCATAGTTTCATTGTGTGCGTGTGTACGCGCGCGCACGCGTGTGCACGCGCGCACACGCGTGCAGGGGACAGAAGAGACTGAAAGTCATTCTCAATCGGTCTCTCTAATCGCGGCAGGGTCTGTTATGGTCCCAGAGCTCACCCATTCTGCTAGCTAGCCAGCTTGCCCAGGGGATCCTGTCTCTGCCCTCGGTCATGGGATTACAAGTGGGTAGGATTTTCCTGGCTGTCATCTGTGCTCTGGTCCTCATGCTCGCACAGTGCCTCCGTTACCCACTGAGCCGTCTCCACAACCCACAGGTTTTGATTTTCTGAGGCAAATTAACAAAGATGTAAAGCAAGCAGGCTGAAAAGAACTGAGGCCTGGTGACACCCAGACTGGGGTTCAAGTATATGATCTGGGAAACCACAGGCCTCAGTTTCCCTCCTGGGAATTCTACCTGATAGCCTTCCAGTGGGAGGGGGCATGGTTTGAGACCTGGGGGAGGTTAAAACACAACGTATTTTGTAAAGTCCTCACACAGGGGAGGAAATGGGCTTATTAGTGACAAAGCCTCAGAAGGGCTAGCTGAACCATCAGAGGGACCAGTGACCCTGAAGGAAACATATCCCTTGTTATTCCCCTCAGCTCTAGGAGACAGACTCAAAAGAGGAGCTGCCAGCTCATCCTTCATGTGACTACTTAAGCCTGAACCAGGAAAGGGAGCAACTGTACATGCCTAGCTAGAATTTGAATATCTAATTTGATGGGGCATGTAAATTGGCAGTTATTCAAATGAGCACATTTGCATATATAGGGTTTAAGGCAACATGATAATTCCTTAATATTTTTCTCCACGGTGCAGTGAGGACTTTAGATCTCCCTTCTTTCCGAGGCTTTTTAGGAAAGGCTACAAAGGGAGCTGGGCGGAGCCCAGGAACTGCTCCGGGGATCAGATGTTGGATGTAACCCAATGCAAGGGGAGCTGGCTCTCAACCGACCTTCCCTGGACCCAAAAGGTGGCATCACTCACCTTCCTATCCATCTGTCCACGGCTGCCCAGCATGGCTGTCCCCACAGGGATACCTTCTTTGTTCAAGGGTGGCAGAGGCTCAACATTGCTTCCTTTAGGTCACCCCGCCCCCAGCATCCACACCCCTGGGAACACATTGGATATGCAAATTATCAGGCTTATTCCACCCTCCTGAATCCCTAGAGCTGGCCAGCAGCTGGATTTAACAGACCCTGCTGGAGGTACCTCTGTATCTCAAGCTGGGGACACTTTCACTAGGGCATTGCCAGACACCTGCCACAGGCTTTACAAGCACAAGTTCAAGGTTGCACCAGGATGTGGATTTACCTCTGAAGGCCAGACCCAAGCTACCATCCAACATCCTATGGGATCGTTTGGCTTTTGGTAAAGGAGGTTGGAGTTCCTGGTGACCTGGATGCCAGTAGGTAGTGGGGGATTCACCTGGCTCTGGCCCTGGTTCAGGGCGGCTTTTCCCCACAGGTGACATGGTAAGACAGAGGGAGACAGCACTAGGATTCAGATGGTGTTGGAAGGTTTCAGCTCTCTGTTGGACCCAGGTCCTGTTTTATCACCTTTTCCCTGCTATCACTCAGCCCGGTTCCTGAGGCCCAACGATTGCCCATACGGTGAGAGGCTAGAAATGGGTAGACAGTTCCCATAGAGTGAGTGTCCATCAGGGAAATAGCTGACCATGACCCCAGGTGCTAGGGATCAGATAATGGAGGAATCCCATGCAATCCAAAAGTTGAGGAATGCTTCCGTAGGTGGAGAAAGAGAGACAGAGGGCTAGGGTCTCCAGAGCATCAGGTTTGAACTGGAGATGGGGTCCAAGAAGCAAGCAATATCTATGAGGCCTTGCGGAGACTTGCAACTGCTAAAACTAGAGGAAGGGGATGCCCTATCTATGCTCTGTACAGACGATGCTGCCCATGGGTAGGTCTGGTAGGAGGACAAAGGCTTTGGAGCATCAGCTTAGGAGGCCTGTGAGGTGACCCAGCCTGCAGGAAGTGCACACAGAAAGGCCGATGGGCAGTGAGCACCCCTGATGGCTGTAGTGGGGAGGTCTCCCCCAGGTATCTGCCAGGATGCTGGGCCAACACATGGCATCCTGAAGAGCTGGAAAGGACTGGGCTTTGGTTCTGATTTGTCTTTTAGGATTTAAATCCTGCAGCAGGGCCCTTGATGAGATTTGTAGTGTGATCTCAGTTGCCAGCTGAGGGAGCTGGGTGGAGTCTCAACCTGGCTGCAGCAAGACCAGGGATGGAGACCTGAGTCAATCTAGAGTAGAAGTGGCCATCTGGAGTGACTTAATGGGATGGGAAAAAGGAAGATGCTGGACTCACGTAGGAATGTTCTAGAAAGAAAAGACGAGAGCCTGGAGATAGACAAGAATGCAGAGACTTGGCAGGGGGCTTTCTAGGTTGCATTTGGGATAGAGTGTGTAGGCAGTAGTTAATCATTTTCTCACTGCTCAGGACAACCGATGATCTTATCTGATCCCCAGGCTCCTCCTAGCCCTGCCTGTTCCAAAGTGGCTCCATCCTCTTGTTTATAACACAGCTGATGAAGTACCCTCCATCATGCCTACCTTCCTAATAGGAAGGAAGAAAAAAAAAGGAGGGTAGAGGGAAGGTCACTTACCAGCTGCACCAGCCCCGTTTCTGGGGCTTTCCTGGAACTCTCTCCTAAAGACTCCTACCAATACCCAAAAGCAAGGCAGAAGCATGAGGCATTTTCCTTCCACACCCCACTGCCTTAAGGCATGGGAAGGGGCGATGGGTACGATACAGACAGCCAGAAACCACACTGCAGACAGAGAATAAATACAGGAAATTAGAATATATTTCCATCTGATTTTACTTCTTAAAAATTAAAAAGAAACTGTAAACATTAGCAAATGAGGTCAAGTTATCAGGATAACCAGGACAATCTGAGGCAGGAATCATGAAAAGAACAGAAAGCCACTTGACAGCCACGAGCAAAATGGAATTTATTGAAAGGATTCCTGGGACTGCCCCAGGCTCTGTGGGTGAAGGCTGGAGGGCTGGACAATCAGGAACCTCTTTCTCCCGGTTTCAGTCTTAAAGGACCCTGACTCTAGTTCTTCATGACCTAGTCATAGCTTCTGGGCTTCTCCATCTCTCTCTTCCACCCCCACCCCACCCCTGAATCTTGAGTTCTTTCTTCTTTGTTCACAGCAGAAACACGTCACCCAACCCTGCTGGTTGGAGTGCCAACAGGGAAAGTCTCCAAGACCCAGTGCTACTATTATCCAATACCTGAGAGCAGGTGATCTATAAACAACAGAAATTTGTGTTTTGCAGTCCAGAAGACTGGAAGTTTAAGGTTTGATAAGATTCTGGTCTTCCAAGGTGGTGCCTACACTGTGTCCCTCTATAGGAACACATTGCTGTGACCTTTCATGGAAGGAAGAGAAAATAAAATGCCCAACAGGCATCCAATACTTTCATAAGGCTGCAGCACATCTGTACAAGAAAGTGGAGCCCTCATGACTTGACCACTCCAAAGGGTGTGCATGCATATGTGTTTATATATGTGTGTGTACATATGTGTGTATATATGCATAAATGTGTATGTGCATGTGTGCATGCATATGTGTGTATCTGTATGTGCGTGTGTGTATGCATATGTGTATATACATGCATGTGTGTATATGTGTTTATATGTGTATGCATGTATGTGCATGTGTGTATACATGTGTATATGTGTATGGCAGTCAGAAGTCAACCTCGGGTGTGGGTCCTCAGGGTCCCTCATTTATCTAGAGTTTGCCAAGCAGATGTCACAAACCTCCTGTCTCTGTCTCTCCAGGGCTGGGGTAGCTGGCATGAACCACTACCCCCAGTGTTTTCACATAGGTTCTCGGGTGTTTAGGCTTGCAGAGCAAGCACTTTTTTGACTGAGGCATGCTCCCAGCCTCCTCACTCTTAATGCTATCACATTGGCTCTCAAGCTTCAATGCATGAATTGATGGAGGGGGAGGGTCACTTCCAGACTACAGTATTGGGTTAGAACATGAGACTTCCCAGGCTCAGATGCCGCTTGCTTGACAAGGTCAAGTGTGGACTGGATGTGCTGCTGCCCTTCAGCAGACACTGGGGACAGATGATCAGTCAGTCAGACTTTCCCACAAATACCTTCGGCGCCCACCTCTCTTGCTCCTCGTCCTTACTCCACCCTCAGTTTTCCTTCCAGAGTGTCTCATACAAGCTGGACCCTTCCCAGAAAGGCTATGGAGTTCTAGACTGGATGAATCCAGACTCTTCGCATGTGTCCCCACATTTAGCTTCCTCTTCTAAAGACTGGAGAAGTCAAGTACAATCTCTCCTTTGGCCTCTGGAGCTGGGAACTGGGGAGGATGAAGATATGGGTCTTACATTTCAGCCTGTAGTTTCCATCACCTAGATAGATGTCACCTTCAGGGAAAGGTCAGAGAAGTCCCCTCCCAGACACCCTGCAAACAAGACTGCCTCCAGCCAGGGAGAAACCTAGAGCTGATACAAGCAAGAAAAGAGGCAAGACAGTGAAGATTCTAGTAAGTGACACAGCCAAATGAACATAAAACACAGTGCTTGCACTGGGATTCCAAACATCT